CTACCCATGCTGGCTGGGGAATTCTGGGAGTTGAAGTCCACTCATCTTAAAGTGGCCAAGTTTGGACAACACTGGCATAGATGCTGCTGAACAGACAAAACAGGGAAGGGGTCCAACATATGAAAAGCCCTGACGTTCCATTCAACCAGGGTGGGGGAAATACAGCCAAGGTGCTAGTGAAAAACAGGAAGCCACAGTCAGGCTGCATCTAGGTGATTAGATGCATACCTGTGATTTTTACCTTACCCCAACCCGCCAAGATGAGATCTCACCTCTGACAGCAGGAGCAGGCCGACGTCTTTCTCGCGAGTAGCAAAACAGTAATTGGCGCTCTTGGAGGACATGTCCGCAAAGTAAATGCCTTTCCCAAACTTGGGGATGAGAAAGAAGAGGAAAGAAATGCAGACTTGACTGTTGCTCCCCCACTTGAATGAATCTTGGGCTCAGTGTAGCCTAAATACTCACCATATAGCCTGTGACGGGTGCCTCTGGCGGTGCCACACGCAACCCCTGGCTCAAAATCCCTGCCCAGTTACCCAGCCGAGATCCGTGCCAAAGCAACATCCTGGGAAGGGAAAGCAGGATGAAAGGTGCAATTCAGGATATAGCCCAAGGGTAAATTTAGTTTCATCCCATCAGCTCCATTCTTACCTGTTGGGCAGGTCAAAGCGGAAGGTGGCTTCTGAGCTTTCCTTGTTCAGTTCAAAGGCCTCAAGCAAGGTCATTGTATAATCCTTGTGGGTGGGAGCATGGGTGGAGAGCAGGTAGCGCTCCAGCACCTGGGGAAGGACAAGAAAGCAAGCTGAGATATCTCAACCAGAATGGTTCCATCTAGGATCTTGCTTTCCTTATTCAACTACACACCTGGAAAACATGGCCATCCTTCTCCAAGGGTTGGAGCTCACAGCCGAGACTCCGGTAGCTCTGGTCCAGAGGGTGCTCTAGATCCAGCTGTTCTGACTGCACATGTTTGATGCCAATACGTATCTCACTGAGAGCCTTGAGGTGGAAAAGGAAGTCAGCAAAGAGTGGCTATCAGAAGTGTGGGGTTTTATAGGGCAGCTTCCTTCTCAGAAGGAGCCCCTGAACACTGGAGTAGATATTTGGAGGGTTGCCTTCCAGATGTGGTGGGAGTTGGAGTCCAAAACACATGGAACGTGCCAGGTTGGGAAAGGCTTGGTTGAACTAACACCTTCATATCTGAAAGATTAATAAAGCTGAAGGGACTCTTGAGGACATCAAGTCCAGAGCCCTACTTAGTTGGAAATTCAAATTAAAGCATCCCAAAGAGTTTGGTGTCCAGTCTGCCTGAATCCTTCCAGTGAAGGGAAGCCCACCAATTCTCTGGCTTATTGGTTCCACTGAATCTCTCTGACACTCAGCTAGAATCTGTAACCCAAGACCATTCTTCCATATATACCCCTTCACACAACTTCATCTTATCAGCATTCAAATCTCTCCATTAGGTTGAACAGGATTAAATATATAGACATAGATATATAGATATATGCACACACACAAAGCCAGTCTTTGCAACCTTGAAGATTGACACATTTATGACATTAAGGTCTCTGGCATTCAGCCCACTTCATTCAATGAATCAACCAGCCTGCTGTAAAAGAAATGCCCCTTCTCTCAAATAATGCTGCACATCTGATTAATCCATGAAAACCAGTGACAATCATCTTGGCTGCCTAAGTGCCGCAAGACACTTGTTGGTTCTTGTTCATCATGATTACTCTGGAAATTAAGTGATATGGCAGAACTCTTCAAAAATGAAGCAGGGAAACTCTCTGAGGATCTGCAGAACAGCTTTTCCTTCAACACCTGAGAGCCTCTTTAGTCCCAGCTGCCTGAAAGAATATAAGCTAGGAACCTTGTACCTCTTATCTTGCAAAGGAATTTAGAGATGACCTTGGCATGAAAGAACCATTAAGGAGGGACTTGGAGAAGCAATTACATAGTCCAGAAGTTGAAGCAAGCATGAAACTCAACCCCTCAAAAAACCTTGTTTTTATTAGCATAAGAAGGGACAGAAAGAAACTTGAAAAGTTTTTCAAGATTGTTATTACCCCCTACTATAATAAAGCAGCATTACTGGAATCCTGTGGCGTCTCTCTCTTGACTCAGTCTACCTTAAAGAGCTGACATCGTGCCCTTCACTCATTTTCCAGTTTAGTACAGAAGCGGAGGAGCTATTTATTCCTTTGATCTTAATAATCAGAAAGTCCACACACCAATCTTCTCTCCTTGAGCGATTAAACATGACTTCCCTTACCTCCAGCAGCTGTGACTTTTCTTGCAGTTCCTTTAACGTCTTTATTAGTGGTGGCGTTTTTAGCCTGAATAGGGGAGAGAGAATGAGGACAAACACTTTTATGATTTGCATTACAAAGATGACTGCCCATCATTGAAGATCCTCCTTGGAGAAGTGTTTGCCCTTCCGCGGTTGGGGAGGTAACAGCCACAGAGAGGACCTTTTCAGCTGCACCAGTTAAAAAAACACTCAGACCAGGGATGGCTGGTCCATAGGCTGCCCGTGGCTTGGTTTCAAGCATCTGACTGGACCACCACCATCTAGTGGCAAGATGTAATGGGCTGTGAGAATAACCTTGGGAGACAGGAGGAAGGGCAACAGTCAGGCAAGAGATATCTCAACCCACAGAAGGCATGGGGTGGAGAAAGCATCACAGAAGGGACCCTCCTTAGTTCTCTGGAACATAAAAGCAATGGAGGGGAGAAACGCTTTCAGACTTGCAAGATTCTGTTACTGTAACCTTAGAATAAAGGCCGTGTTAATACTCATGGTTTTGGTTTCCTGTCTGGGCTACCTTGAATGGCTGACACAAAATGACTGATTTTCGTCATCCAAATTTTGGTGTTTTCTTTTTTTTTCCTCTCAAAATTAAGGATGGAAAGGGAAATGGGGCGAATGCTTCAGTTTCTACTTCTAACTTCCTCAATGCTTTCTGGTAGATGACCTAAAACTATTCTGCCACATAGGGGTTTTTGAGGAGGGTGGTGTGAAGATATTTTTAAGGGTGCAAATGGAACATTGCCTCCCAGAAATGTCCTGATTATACCCAACTTTTAAACCTAGAAAAGTCTAAAAAAAGGGGTTAAAAAAAATGAGGCATCACCCATCTTTCTGGTGGTATCAATCTTTTATCTTATTTTTTTGTTTGATTGTTATGAGCTGCCCAGACTCATTGAGAGTCGTGTGGTATACAAGTTTAAATATTAATAATAAATATTATTAATAAATAATAATAGGAAGGGGGAGAATTATAGTTCCCAACATCTCAGAGAGTCATGTTCTTTTCTATATGTTAAATGTCTAATGCCAACTACTCTTATTCTTCATGAATTCCATCCAGTCCTC